ACTCAGAATCCAGCAAGAGTAACAGCCGCAACAGCCGAGGCTTGTACACGACATTTTTCGAGTCTTGACGAGCTCTTGGCAGACCTTGACTTCGTTCATCGCTCAGGGCGTCATGCTGGCATGATCAAAACCAACTGTAAGTTGACTTTCCTAGACAGCGCGAGCGCTGCTGCCTGTCTACGTCTGCATGTGCTGCAAACATACTTTTGTATCCTCCTGATGCATGTCTGTTCTTATTCATGCCGGCCCCAGGTCTTGGCCGTATCTTATCCGTGGATGAGATGCCTGGTCTCCGTGCCGGATTCACAAGGAATGTCAAGGTGTATTCCTCAGCCGACCGAACTGTAGATCAAGGGTGTCTTCCTGGACAAACCTACAACGCCATTCATGACAGCTAGTTGGAGAGGCAGCCACCCTCGACGAGGAAATGTGTGCTCTTTATTTTGCCATCCACTTTCAAAGCAGTCAAGTCAAACGGGTACAGGCTGCCTTCCGCCATGCAGGCGCTACGCGCTTGGAGCGAGCTGTTAGACACATGAAGAACCAATCCTCACACGTTGAACCCGAGGATACAGCAGTGACGCCTCCGCAAAGCCCGGCAAGCACGCCATCTGGTTCAAGCACTCCGAGGTCAAACACAACGTCGCAGCCACTGGTACGGGTTTGGGACGCCAATTGGAGTCTTGATGAAGGCCAGGAGCACTTTGATCGTCTGGCTGCGAGTTTTTAGCGCCTTGAAGAGCGTCATCAAGATGTGATTCGCTCAACGCCGCGCCAGCGCCGCCTACTCGATCGCATCACGCCTCAAGAGCGGTCACGGCGGCGACGTGCCCCCATTTTTGGGCCAATGTCATCAGGGCCAAGCGCCGCAGATCTCGAAGGGCGTGAGCGGCGCCGTGTTTATCTTCATGCGTCGAGGGAACGACGAGCAACAAGAGTGGCAAATGAAGCTGATCTACGTGCTGCTTTAAACGTACAACGCATCACGATTGCCAGCCTGAAAAGCTTCTGTCGATCGCATTGCCTCGGCACGACTGGCAGCCGTGCCGAGCTCATCGCGCGCACAAGGACACAACTTGAGCTCCCACAGCCCCCAACCACTCCCTTATCGCTGGGCAGGCCAGCTGGGGAGGTATTCGAGCCTTTGGCAATCCCATTGGCGCACATTGAGTCCCGAGAGGACGCCGAGCTCACCCCCATGCCCGCGTCTCCGCCGCGTGATGACCGAAATTCACTTCCCTCAGATTCAACCCCACCCACTCTAACAGCAGCATCAGCAGCACCTTCTTTTGACCGAATCGTTGAAAAAGAGCCTCAAGAACCTATTGCGCGTGTCGGAGGTCACTTTGCAGACTCCGATCTCCAGTTTTGGCTCCGAGACTATACCTCTCAAACTCAACCATTTCAGGACGCAACAAGCCCTGAATCAAACGCGCCAGCCGCGCCTCTGGCCAGCTCAAATACAGACCAGAATGAGATTGATTTGCTCATCAAGGCTTGCGACGAGAGTACCAAAAAGTACAAGGCGTATATCGACTCACTGATCGCACTAGAGCCCATACTTCCACGTCTTAAAAATAACACGAATTGAAGCTTATTTATTACAACCGCCACCACTGCACGAAAACCCACTTTTCTACTGATTTTTCTCGCCCTACCTAATTGAGCATGTTTGAAAAGCTGGTTGCCCAAGCCTCCCTGCACTGCCGTCCCTGATAGACGAGAAACGTCGTGTATCAAGTTCCAGAGCAGGCACGTCCTGTAGAAGAAACAAAACAATAATATAGCTCTTGATGTAGGGCAGCTACGCTCACAAAATGGCATCTCATAGATTCAACAGATCTGCGCGGTTCGAATCATCCCAATTGGGCTGAGATCTGACCACAATCAACGCCGACCGCCATCCAACAAATCACCCCTATTAGGTGCGACCTCCTCTCCAACAACCATTTTGACAACATTTGAAAAATTTATTTTTGGTAACAAATGTCCAAAGGTAACAAATACCCTCGGTGACTGTATTCATGGGTGTACAAATTTGACACAATACGAGAACGAAAACTGAATATCATCGGGAATCGGTTTTGAAATTATCGATAGCAATATGAATGGAAAGTGATAATGAAACACGACACAATTGTCAAAACGGTTGTTGCTTCATAATGCGCCTCAGGCGACGTAAGCGGTCCAAAGCTTGCTCAGAAAACTCTTCAGAGCTAGTGTCAGGCCTGCTTGCACGCGGTTTTGAAGAAGCATTTGTGGCAATCGGAGGCGAGTGCGTGCAGTCCAGGCGTGCATGGGTGTCACTCTGTGTGCCATCATCGTCGGGGGTGACATCTTTTGACTGAGGGTGTTGAAAGACATCCATCTCGGCCACTGATGAAGATCGTGACCGAGCAAGATCAACTGATGCACGTTCACGCACTCGACGTCGGCGAGGAGTTGGTGGCAAATCCATACTTTCCAAAGGGGTACGAGTGTTGTGCCAAACACCTTCTTGGCCGGTTGTCGAGGACCGGAAGATAGTGGTTGGGACTTCGCCATCACCGGGTCGCCAAATTGAAGTAACATATCGGTTGCTTGAGTCTACGCGTGCACTTGAGTTCCATCGAGGGCGATGTAAATCACTTGACATGTCACCCGCTCGAAATGCAACCGAACCGACCAGCTCAAAGAGAGACTTGTCCGAATATGGAGCTGGGCTACCTTCTGCACCTCCATCTGAGAGTGTGAAATCCCAGAAATAATCTTTGTGTGTTTGGGAAATATTCCAGGATTTCTCCGCACGTGAGTCACGAACAATTGCTGCAATCGGCTCGCGGAAGCCAAGCTGCAGCAAAATCCGGTTCACCTCAGCTGCGGGAGTCTGAGCCTCTGCAGAGGAGGCTTGAGGGGCCTCGGTCTGGGATTTGGAGGAGCCGCCGAACACAAACGGCTTAGAATACGACCGGTGTTCATGCTGCGAGATGTGCACGTTTGGTACAAGGTCTCGCACGGAATTGTCATCTACATGCAATCGGATACTTATGAGACGCGATGATTGAAAGAAGCGAGAGTGTCAAACGATTCTAACCTTGATCTACAGCACTGAAATTGAGGCGACCTGGGGCGCGTGATACAAAATCTATAAAGGTTGAAGCGTCTTCATATGGCAGATTAGCCTGGTAAGGAGCTGAAGGACGAGTGATACTCCAGGTGTTCTTTGACAGTTCTCGAAATTGATGCGAGTTGACATCATTAACGAACGAAGCAAGGCCGAGAGAGTAGTCCCAATCCATATCTGCGAGCAAAAGAAGTAAGATGAAGGCGACAAAGAATATGAAAAAAAGGCAGATATAAACTTGCCTTGATCAATCTTGAATGAAAATGGTTTGAGGTTTGAATCGAAAGCACGATGGGAAGGATCGCGATCAAGGAAAGGCTCTGACGCAAGCAAGGAACCTGAAGAAGGTTCGAGTGCCGAAGCAAACGACATCAAAGACCGACCAGAAATATCACGAAAGACATGTTTTGAAGGGGACGACGGCAACGGCTCTAAGGACGGAGGAATTGACTGAAGAGCCGGAGAGCGCTGAGAACGCTTCCAGTCCGCACCAAATGGAACCTTCACAACGTCACGATGCTCGTGATGGCTCACATGACCGCCCGATGGCGTCGCGTCCACGGCCAGAGGTACCATAGAAGTCTCGCCATGGCCCACACGCTTCCAGTCTGCACCAAATGGAACCTTCACAGCGTCACGATGCTCGTGATGGCTTACATGACCGCCCGATGGCGTCGCGTCCACGGACAGAGGTACCATAGAAGTCTCGCCATGGCCCACGCGCTTCCAGTCTGCACCATTGTCCAGCGTCTCCAGCCCTCGGTGGTCGTGATGACTCACATGACCACCCGAGGCCGTCGCATCCACGGACAGAGGTACCATCGCCGTCTCCCCGCGGCCCACACGCTTCCAGTCTGCATCATTGTCCAGCGTCTCCAGCCCTCGGTGGTCGTGATGACTCACATGACCACCCGAGGCCGTCGCATCCACGGACAGAGGTACCATCGCCGTCTCCCCGCGGCCCACACGCTTCCAGTCCGCATCATTGTCCAGCGTCTCCAGCCCTCGGTGGTCGTGATGACTCACATGACCACCCGAGGCCGTCGCATCCACGGACAGAGGTACCATCGCCGTCTCCCCGCGGCCCACGCGCTTCCAGTCCGCATCATTGTCCAGCGTCTCCAGCCCTCGGTGGTCGTGATGACTCACATGACCACCCGAGGCCGTCGCATCCACGGACAGAGGTACCATCGCCGTCTCCCCGCGGCCCACACGCTTCCAGTCCGCATCATTGTCCAGCGTCTCCAGCCCTCGGTGGTCGTGATGACTCACATGACCACCCGAGGCCGTCGCATCCACGGCCAGAGGTACCATCGCCGTCTCCCCGCGGCCCACACGCTTCCAGTCCGCATCATTGTCCAGCGTCTCCAGCCCTCGGTGGTCGTGATGACTCACATGACCACCCGAGGCCGTCGCGTCCACGGACAGAGGTACCATCGCCGTCTCCCCGCGGCCCACACGCTTCCAGTCCGCATCATTGTCCAGCGTCTCCAGCCCTCGGTGGTCGTGATGACTCACATGACCACCCGAGGCCGTCGCATCCACGGACAGAGGTACCATCGCCGTCTCCCCGCGGCCCACACGCTTCCAGTCCGCATCATTGTCCAGCGTCTCCAGCCCTCGGTGGTCGTGATGACTCACATGACCANCCGAGGCCGTCGCATCCACGGACAGAGGTACCATCGCCGTCTCCCCGC